TCTTCCATTCGTAAGGATGTCCTACCTCCCCATCATATTAATTCAGTGATTTACCAATACAAGTGTAGTTGTGGACATGACGACATAGGTAGGACGTCCCAGCGTTTGGATTCGAGAATAAAACAGCATTTACCCTCCAGGATTTTGAATCCGTCCTCTGGGAATAGCCAATTGACTAACAGTTCTGGTTTTGCTATTGCTGAACATTTAACAAATAGAAGGGGATGTGTAGAAAATTTTAGTGGTGACCGATTTATTATTTCATCGAGGTTCAACTCCACATTTCACCTCAAGGTCCTGGAGTCCTTGTATATCAGATCTCGTGAGCCTTCCCTTTGTAAACAGAGGGGATGCTTGCTGGGTCTGAATATTATTGGACTCTAGTTTCTTGAAATTCATAATTTTTTTTCTCTCTCCCCATTTAATTACATTCGTTAATTAAAATTAATTTACACGCTTTTAAATTCCCAGAATAAATAACTTGATAAGTCCTGGGGTGAAACCGGTAGTTTTATTTTGGCTTTTGCTTTTAAAAATGCCTTCTTATTATCTTTTTCCTATCTATTATTAAATTCTGTACCACGAAAAACTTATTTAAATATATATATATATATATATATATATATATATATATATATATATATATATATATATATATATATGTGTGTGTGTGTGTGTGTGTGTGTGTGAAAAAGTATATAAATATAAACAAATATATATATGTATAATTATTTATATATTATATGCGCGGTTAGGGTTAGGGTTATATAACAGGAAGATATGGAAAGTAGTTGAGAAAATAAAAGTGATTTTCACGGTTACAGTGCATTTATTGCATCATTTGATTGTAATATACGAAAATATTCGTGAATATGAAAGGATTATGATAAAAATAATCATATATAATATTTGCAATTTATACAGTCAGATATGACTAAAAGAGAATTTGCCTGGATATATATATATATATATATATATATATATATATATATATATATATATCCGATGCAATGAGAAAGAAAGTAATATATAAATTCCAACGTTCACAGTATTAATCCTTTAAAATATGTTTTTCCGCTACAGAGTAATACCCATTTTTCAAAAATGGAAGCTAAAAAATTTATATTTAATTAAATAACTAAATTAATAGCATTGATGATTGGATTTCTCTGTATCCTTGGAAACAGTAAATTATGAATGTGCGTTTAAAACTTAGTAAATTTAAAAATAAGTTATTCCAATATTCGCTTGAAGATGAAACGGAACTAATGCTTTTAATTTGATTATATAATAAAATTTAAAGTTTTTAGCTTCGATTTTTGAAACATGGTTATTACTGTGTAGCGAAAAACATATTTTAAATCAGTTAATTTATATTATTTGTGCTCAAGGAGACATGGGACAGTGGATAAGGGCGTTGGTTAGATCCAGTGACAGGACCCAACGAGTGTAAGTTCAATACCCGGTTAAGGCAGTGGAGAACTTTCAGAGAGAAATTAACAGGCGATAACTGATAACTGACATCTATTAAACGTGGGGCGTGGAAATAGAACAGTCTACTCCAGTGAGCGAAATAAAGGGTTAAGTTCGACATACCAACCACCTGAAGAAGGCCGGAGCGTACAACGGCCGAGACGTTGGGATAAATAGGGCGGCGAAGATGAGGACATTAGTCTGAATAATGTAATATTTGTGCTGTGAAAAAAATAAAATCAATAAAAACACTAGATCATATATGTTACTGTTGTTTCTTTATATATATATATATATATATATATATATATATATATAAAAAGAAAGAACAGAAAAAATCATAGATATTTTATTTTTTACAAAATAGTGCTCAATGTAAATTTACTGGATTTTAGCCGACGTTTGGTTATCTGATGGACTTTATCAAGACGAATGCATTTTGAACCTCTTTAATTTATAATATATATATATATATTACGAAAGACAAGGGGAAAAGTATACTGGATTTTAGCCATTTGGTTATCTGGGATATCTATCTATATATCTATATCTATCTATCTATCTTGGAGTATCATGCCATCTCCTATCCTTTTTTATATATATAAAATAGCTCTGTTATTTAACATATATATATATGTGCTTGACTCTCCCGTCGTTTATCGACATATAATGATCAAGCAACTCAGTTCCCAGGAAACAAAAGCTGCACATAGTATTTGATTATGTTTGTGAAGTCTTTGTACAAAACCAACCTCACTTTTTGAAGGGCCGAATGCAGAGACCTGGTGCACCACGTCCCACAAGGTACCGAAATGGATCACTGCAAGTTCTGTATTCAGTGTTGTCCTAGACCAGTTCCCATGCAACGCTATAGGACCCAGTCTCTCCTGCTATTTATCCGTAGCTGGGACTGGGAGAAGAAGAGGATTCACACATTTTCCAAAGGTATTTGCACGTAAGGTATATATATATATATATATATATATATATATAAAAGAAAAACAGACCATTTAAATATTTAAAAGAAAAACATACCACTTTTATTCTTTTAAATATTAGCTCTGGATTTACATTGAGCTCTCAGGATTTCATCCTCCTTGGGATTACCCATACGGATTACCAATTTCTTGATAACTTATATATATATATATATATATATATATATATATATATATATATATATATATAGTTTTAAAAACTAGGGAACCATTGATTTTAATATTAAAAAGTCTCTAGAGCCCTTTTTCAGCCAACATCTCATCAGGAGACAATCGTTGGATTAGCGAAATGAATAATAGCGATATTGAAGAGCAAAAAGAGGGGAAACACAATAAAATAACAAACAAGTGTATATACTTGTAACGAGGAAGGGTTATCGTGCAAATAAATAGCGAGGGACAGTTAAAATAAAATATCCCCCAACAGATTTAGAGACCTTATAAATTCTTTCTGCCGGCAGAGAGAAGGTTTTTTAAATCCTATACAGACCGACTCCAAAATCTTCAAATGATTATTGAATCGGCTGTATGAATAATTCTAAACCACTCTTTTTTATACAACTTGGCATAAGCTATATTCTCAACTAAATGTTGAGCAATAGCCGATTCCATATTCATGGGGGAAGATAGCATATTCTATCTATCTTACCAAGTCGTATTTTGGAAGGAACGTGCTGATT